AACATGTAGGCTTATGGAGAAATCACTTAAATTTCAAAAAAAAAAAACGGCTAAATGAACTTGTTTTTTTTTTTTTTTAATGAAAGAATATTGTCAAAATAATATTTTGTCAAAGTTTGAGAGAGCCCTACCACAAATTTCTATTAAAAAACAGCAAAAATGTGCTCGCAGCAGACGACTTGGCAACGCTGCTTTTGGAGCGCGCTTTGAAATGTAATGAATAGTAAAAACTCCTTTTGTAATTGAAAATTTAATTATAAAAAATTCAACCGAATAAAAAAGGACACTGTCATCAGTAGACGACGACAACAGCAGTAGACGACAACAACAGTAGACGACGTGCCAGCAGCCGAAAAAATTCACAACGTTGCCAGACGCTCTCCCTCCCCTTGCCTCTCTGAGATTTCCCCCCGCTAACACTACCGAACCTCCTTAATACTTCCTATTTCTGTACATGCCTATGAACTATGTCTAGCATCAATGCATTTCGCATAAAATACTAGTCAAAGGTAAATATATCTTATGTACACTTTGATTTTTTTTATGGATGATTTCTGATCAGTATATAATACTACTAGTATACTTTATGCATAATTTGTGACACTTTAAATTCTTAATAGTAAGATTTGTTTACCTCTTCTCAGTATCATGTAGCTTGATGTATTCATTTTTTAAATACGCTATACTCAAAGTGTATTGAATTTTTTGGTATCATACAGACTAATATCATTAAACATATTTCTGTGAGAAGAGCTATCGACTTGAGGCAAGATATTGACGCTATTATATTGGTTTGACATATTTATCTCACAATCTGATGATGTCATCATATTGAGGAAATCTTTTTTCCCCTCTAAATAACTTATCTTATTTAAATCTTCATACTCCTCACATAGCTTTTGGTAATGCATATTGATACCATTTTGTAAAAATTGTCCAATGCTTTCCAACAATTTTGTGAAAGATGGTCTCAAAGTTGGCTCTTCCTCCCAGCAGCTAAGCATGATTTCATAACTGGAACAACCATGAATAAAACATTGTGAAAATTTTGAAATTAACACTTAGAATAAAAAAACTTTTTTCATTTCTAAAAGAGTAACTAATATTCACATGTCTTTGGTGACATGTATGGGCTGACCCATTCTGTAGCCTTTAAATAATTTCATAAATATTTTCTCGAACCCTATACCTGAATAAGGTACCTCTGCAAGAGTAAAAATTTCCCAAAGTACTACCCCGTATGACCATACATCTGACATTATTGAAAAGACTCCGTCCCTGATAGACTCAATAGCCATCCACTTGACAGGAAACTTTCCTTCGCTTTGCTTTTTATAGTTTTCGTCTTTGTACAATGCTTTGGCTAAACCAAAATCACAAATTTTGACACTGTTGTTTTCTGCTACAAGAATGTTTCTTGCAGCTGAATCACAGTGTAGCACCTGTTAATATGATTACCAGAAAAAGACCAAAGTAAGACAATCTAAAACTAAAAACAAGAGGACAATAAATTTTGCATATATAAATATAATATACTTGCCTTTCTTTGGGAGAGAAATTCCATACCACTTGCCACCTGGTAAGCATATAATAGGAGATCATGGGAACAGAAAGGCTTAAAATCTCTATCTACGTAGTCTCCGCCATAATTAGAGAGCCAACCTGGTTGCATGTCGCCATTGTTGAGATCATGATCGGATTCTATGTGACCACTAGAGTTCTCTGTCTCGGAATTATAGATTATTTGACTACCACTCAACTCATTAATACATGAGCCCATGCTCAAATTTGTGTAGATCTCTGGAGACTCATGTGTTGCCCTGTGGATTAGACAATAATTATTATTAAAATTATTCATCATTCGTGGTGCCTTTAAATACATGTGAATAGTTTTTATTATTTATCATTGTCATCGTTATTGGCGTCATCGTTACAGTTATTACTATTATTATTATTATTATTATTATTATTATTATTATTATTATTATTATCATTATCATTNCATCATCATCATTAACATCATCATCATTATTATTATTATCATTATTATTATCTTATCAAAATTATTTTCAAATTATTTTTATAGGTCATAAAACATTCATTCACTTTGGAAGCTATTGGGATTCCAAAAGGTCACGTGACTCTCGCGGTATATATAGTCACTTGGGGGAAAAAATAACACAGGCCTTGTAGGTACAATTGTATTTTATTTTTTTTACCCGTTCAACGATTGTAATACGATAAAAGCCTTTCAATAACATATTTTTAAGGAGATGACAATACCTTAGCTATTTTTTCCCGACTCAATTAGTCTTTGGCAGATTAAAACTTTCCTTCGAAAGTGCGAAAACGCACATTTAACCTTACCAAAATCTCGCTTGTTGTCCTATATATAGTCGGGAACAGGAACTTTGTACAGATTAAATGTGCGTTTTCGCACTTTCGAAGGAAAGTTTTAATCTGCGAAAGACTAATTGAGTTGGGAAAAAATAGCTAAGGTATTGTCATCTCCTTAAAAATATGTTATTGAAAGGCTTTTATCGTATTACAATCGTTGAACGTGTAAAAAAAATAAAAATAGAATTGTACCCATTAGGCCTGTGTTATTTTTCCCCCCAAGTGACTATATATACCCCGAGAGTCACGTGACCTTTTGGAATCCCAATATCAAATCACAAGCAATTAGTTCTTTGTAATTTTTTAATATATTTATCAATTACCTGGAGTAACAAAATTGTGCCATGCTGGTAAACAGTAGTAGAAATATAGTGATGAAAATGCTAATGCATGGTGTAACATTTGATTCAATCTAATTTTTAGTACCACTACAATGATTTCACAATTACACACATTAGTCCATTTTACAATTAGTTTTGGATTAGAGTTCAACATATGTTACAAATCTAACGAACCATTAGTGGTAAACCCTATTGATCTTCCCTAGGGTGCGGTAAACCTTCAAAACTAAAAAAAATGTTCAAGGTGAGAGAAGTAAGTTTTCACTTACTAGTGTGTAAAAAGATCACTTCGCACACTCACTTTTTACGCAAGGGTGTGTACTTATTTTCACCTTTTAAAATTAAAAATTTTCTTGAAAGAAAATATTTTCATAAATTTATTCTTTCTCTTACAGACGGAACTCCCAATAAACCTTATGGTATTATAAAACCAAAATCCAAATTTCTTGACGGTCAATATATATCATTAATATGTACTGCTGTCATTCGGGAGTTTTCCGAGGTAGCATGGTATGATGATAAAAATAAAAAAGTTGTAGATTCTGGTGAGTTCACGAATTACAATACAATGACTTATTTAAATTTTAAGGGTAGTATAGTTCGTCCAAACCTGAATAATCTAGATCATTTAATAATTCTAGGAAGGATACACGTCAAGTTTGAAGAAACTAACTACACTTATCGTGCCATTGTGTCTATTACTAACGTGAGTTATTCAGATAAAAAGGATTATTTCTGTAAAACGAAAAAAATTTTAAACAAGAAAAATACAGAGAAATATAGCCTCAAGATCGATGGTATAAAGGAAAAATTTTTTTCTTATAATAAATGTCTCTTATTTTTCATACAACTTTATTACTTTTACCTTTGTTTGCGATAACTTTTTACTTTCAGTTCCAGCTTACTTCGTTCGGGTCAATATAAATGACGTTGCCATAATACGGTTTGCAAAAGACCCTAAAAATCCTGTCTATTTATCATGTTACGTTAAAGGAAAACCAACACCTAATATTACGTGGTTAAAAAATGATACACTCTTGGAGTCATCAGAACAGTTTAGTTTAGAGAAAGGAAATTGATAATAAGATATCTTTTGGAATGTGACAGTGGTAATTATTCATGTGTCGCAGAGAATGGCTTTTGGCCAGTAATAAAATCTCAAAAAATTATTGTCAAAGGTAACAATTACTGATGTATGTAATTTTGAGATTTATAACGAAATAAGTTTTTTACATTATTGACGTACGGCGCAACCTTAATTGTCACTTTGTTATAAAAAACATTGTGAAGAAAATAAAAAATTGCAATACATTTAATGATATTGTCAAGTTTAAAATAAAGTTTTTCATACTTTCTGCTAGTAAATCGAATTTTCATTTTCAAAAATTGGCAAATTTATGCTTTGGCTCCATTTAAAATGTTGTTTTTTAAGTTAAAAATTTTATTTCCTCATTGTTTTATAACAAATAGATATAGTTAATTTTCTTAATCATAAAAGTATTAACTTTTATCACCGACTTACAAAAATAATAGTATTTGTAAAGTAATTGGATTGTACTTCAGGAAATCAAGAACTTTACATTTGGATTGCGATGATAGTGTGGTTCATAACAATTCTCATTTCTCTTTTAATGTACTTTTATTTGAAAACTCAACATGCGAAGGTAACTAAAAAATTTTAGTTGTTTCTTAAGAATGAAATTTGCCTGAATAAAATATTTTTATCATCGAATCAACAATAATTCCAAGTTTAAAGAAAAACAACTATTAAAAGCTGGCGATACGCATTTTAAAGAAGGAGCAGTTGATTTAATAAACCCAGAGTTAACCATAGACGAGCGGGCAGAACTTCTTCCTTACGATATTAGATGGGAGTTTCCTATTGAGAAGTTAAGATTAGGTAAAAATTATAAATTTTTCTACTTCCACTCAAAGACTATGAAAATGAATATTTAAGTAATCCATAATAATGTAAGCAACCTATTTATTCAATTGAAGATAAGGAATTAGGAAGCGGGGCTTTTGGAGTTGTGTATAAAGCAGAGGCCTATAGGATTCTTCCTCATGAGTCGATTACAACTGTGGCTGTGAAAACTATTCGCAAAAATGCAGACTTAATGTATATCAGTGCGTTGGCAAAGGAGCTTAAAATAATGGTTTATTTAGGACAACACTTAAATGTTATAAATCTTCTGGGCGCTTGCACCAAAAATATAGCCAAAAGTAATAACTTACGAATAACTGTTCGAAATATTCATGTAAAAGAACTTATTTAATAAAAATAAAATTATGTTGGAGGAGAACTTTTGGTAATTATTGAGCTTTGTAGATGTGGAAATCTTGAAAGCTATCTCGAGCGTCATCGAAACAATTTTATTAATCAAGTTGAACCAAATACAGGTCAAATCGATACCTTCATAGGAAAAAATTTAAAGAGGTATGAATTTAACTACTTCAACTTTTTATTAAAATTTTCAAGCTACGGTGAGTTTTATTGACGAAAGTCGTTTTTTGTTTTATTAAAGCGTGACCCTATAAGTCCCTTAGGACTCAAGTACATACATGAAATCGCGTAAAAAGTATTACGTATCGTATAAAATTATAGGATCAGGTAAAGTTAGGTGAGGTACGCCTTCTGAAAAAAAATTGTCATCGTGTACATGTGAGTGAAAAATACACGCGTAAGTGTTACTAAACCAATCACAGCTAGTAGTTAGTTGGCAAAACACATGCTCTTTCGCTCTTGCTATTGCCAAATATAAAGTTACGTTCATATTTTTTACTCATGTGCACGATGACGAATTTTTTTGCGTAAAACGTTAATTAAGTACTCAACCTGTGAATAAATTCAGTAGCTAATGTCAACAATAACAATCGAAGCGTCAATACCATAATTAATTAGATTTTTGACATTGAATGAAAAACAAATCCTATGAACTTTGAAAAATTATAGAAAGTCTATGCGACCTATGCAATGACCAATATCGCAAAGAAAAAGTGAGAAGTATTATGACTTACCTGTATAAAATGTATGTACGGCACGAGAACGTGGGCATCAACAAAAACTTGATCAACTCCCTTGTACTTTACGCGATACACGAGGCTTTTACGCCTTCTTGTGACCGCAAACTAGCGTATATCTAATCTTTCTTACTTTACGCGATACGCGATACGTTTTACGATTCACGGGGTTTCACGTGCCCACAGCCTAAGTTACAAAGCGATTCATATTAACACCTTCGAACAGGAGATCACAAAAGTTTTTTGAGGTAGCTCCCTTGTCTATATACAATAATGAAAAGTTTAACAGTAATATTAACGAAACCCAAGTACAGCCAAGTGTAGCCTAGACAGCCAAAGTCTAAATGCAGTCGACCACCCATACCTACATAGATATTTACGTACACCTAGCCGAAGTACATTTTTATGTTCTTTGCATAATATATGTAAAAAAATAATCTCATCACTCTTGATAAGAGTCTCCAGAGGTAGAAGAGAAGGCTAGTGAGGATATTCAGTAGAAATGTTCGTCTTTAAAAATTAGCACGTATCAGTGACAAAAAATAAGGAGCTAAAAAAAATTTTCACTTCCTTTCTTAAAAAATATCTTGAAAAATGACTCACTTAATACAGTTTGTAACGTGGCAGCCTAAAGACAATGAGATATTTTTTTATTAATATTAATATCTCGTATAAAAACGATTTCTAATAATATAATATACTATTAACCTGAATTAAACATTTAACATAAACTGTATTACAGACTATGTTGCACATAACAAATTACTTTATCATTATTTTCGCATAATGTCTTTACTTTATAGCTGGATTAACATGAATAATAAAACAAACTGTGCGTAATAACGAATATGATACTGATAATATAGATGATTCAGTTAAAAAAGTACGAGATACTTTATCATTTCTAACAATTAGTAATGTTCACCCTGTGTCCAAGAAAGGATAAAATTTGTTAGGTTGTTAACCACGTAGTTAGTTCTGGAACTTATTAAATACATCAAACAAAACACAAAACCTGTTTTGGTTACCTAAAAATTGTAAATGTCACAGATGAAACAAGACACGAGATCTATGAAAATTTATTTACGACCTTGTCTGACAGCAGTCCAAACGATAAGCACACCATTCATTATTCAGAAACTCCGAAATTCAGCGGCCCGATCGAATCCAGTGATGATTTTATAGATGAAGACTCTGAGCCAGGCTGGCGTTCTAATTATGAAGGTGATTACGTAGAAGGAGATTTTTCGTTCCTTTGCTCTGAGGATCTTTTGTTATGGGCTTATCAGGTGGCAAACGGCATGAAGTTTCTTTCAGAAAAAAAGGCAAGCACTTATCATGTGCATAAATATATAAATTTTACGGTTATGTATTTATAACTACTTATTACCTAACTGTTATTTTGTGATGCTAATTCTTTTTACAGGTGCTGCACTGTGACTTGGCTGCAAGAAATATACTGTTAGCAGAGAACAACATTGTTAAGATCTGCGATTTCGGTTTAGCCAAGACATTGTACAAAGACGAAAACTATAAGAAACAATGCGTTGGCAAATTGCCTGTAAAGTGGATGGCCATTGAGTCCATTAGGGATGGAGTCTTTTCCACTATGTCAGATGTGTGGTCATTTGGTGTAGTTCTATGGGAATTTTTCTCTCTTGCACAAATACCTTATTCAGGTGTAGGGTTCGGGGTGATGTATCAGAAATTAATCAGAGGATACAGAATGGCTCAGCCTGCTAATGCTACCGATGACATGTGAATAAAATTTTTTACAATAAGTTTGTTTCTCAAAATCTGGCACTTTATTTCCTTGATTTTTTTTAGATACAATATTATGCTCCATTGCTGGGAGGAAGAGCCAACATTGAGACCGTCTTTTACAATGTTGGTTGAAAGGATTGGAAAACTTTTACAAAATGATATCAAAACTCATTTTCTAAGAATTTATCATGAATATGAGAATTTTGATAAAGAAAGCCAGTTGGAAAAAAAAGATGACAATCAAGCAAGAACATCATTGTCTGAAGATATGACAATTCCACTCAACCGGCGTAACTATGTTCATACGTTGCCTTAAATTGCAAGTTCGCTCTACATAAACGTGCATGATTATATTACTGTTACTAATATTGCAAATGTTTTATTACTGTTTCACAAGGATTTTTCACTTAATTAGTAAAGAGAAGTAGATGATTAGTTTAAGTTTGATAAAATAGATATTACAATAGTGGTGTGACAGTGCCCAACTTTTAAAACTATCTGATACTTGATTTACGATGCTATAGCAGTAAGAATAATCTTTCAAAGGATGCTAATAACGCAAGTTTTTTGAATACTCTCATATTCGTAGAATGTGACAAGATCGCGTATGTAAAATTATTAAAGAATTATATTGATGTTTTTTAATATAATTTACGGTGGTAATCATAAGTAAAAAGAATTTATTAAATCCAACTTTTTTAAATATTCCTAAGTGCTTAATAGAATGAGTTTTTCTCTTAATTTATTAACAATTTATTGAAATGAGGATCTCTTGCTTTTAAACTTTTGCTCATGGTAATAATTTTGTTGAAAAGTCGTTTGTTGATAATGTTAGATTGTCGCATAATAATTTCAACAGTGATTTGAAAAAACTTCTATAATTATTTAAAAATAATAAAGACGTATTTTACAATAATTCTTGCGCATCGAAGTAATTAAAGACATACATCACTTACGATTAGGAAAAAAATAATAGAGTTTGAATATAACAAGTGCATCAGTACCCCTATTAAGATGCATCGTTAATTGATTAACCTATGAATGTGCTGAAGAAAACACTTTTTCGAGCCACATTATTAGTAATTTTTAATAAGTATTCTTTCGATTTAAATACCATATTTTTTTTGAACAAACTAAACTTTTGGGGTTGAATTTTGATCTATAAAAAGTTTTTTCAGCCACATTTATCATTACAATCACTTTATTTTTCAGCG